GGGGAGAGGGGGGGACTAACATTTGGTCTTCAATAAAATCTATTCTGACTGTGATGTTCTTTGAAATCCTTATTTTGATCCTATGTAATTACCAGCTCGCCTTTAGGGCAAACTAATATTATTATTAATATATTATTAATAATAAATTAATAATAATATATTAATATTAGTGATTATTATTAATAATTACTAATTATTAATAATTAGTGGCCTTAGACAGTCAAGATGGACTGATAGACATAGTGAAGCGCTAGTAAATATCTTCCAACGTTACATCCGGGACCCGAGGGCGGGGTGACCTGCCTAGCGACGACTCGGAGACGGAGGACGACGAAGGCGGCGCATCAGCGTGACCGGGGACTAGGAAGTCCTAAACTCGTCATAAGGTCACAAGATAAGGTCATAGGGGACTAGGAAGTCCTAAACTTGTCACAAAGTCACAAGGTACTTATATTTACGTATATTACGGATGCGTGACAAAGCGGGGTACAAGCGGGATTGTACACATTGATTGTGTACAATCGTACACAATCAATGTACACAATCGTACATTGTGTACATTGATGCATTGTACACATTGTGTACACAATCGTACACAATCACAATCACAATTGATTGTGTACAATCGTACACAATCAATGAAACTGAAGGTGATGTATGTCATCACCTTGTAACTGAAGGTGATGTATGTCATCACCTTGTAACTGAAGGTGGTGTATGTCATCACCTTGTAACTGAAGGTGGTGTATGTCATCACCTTGTAACTGAAGGTGATGTATGTCATCACCTTGTAACTGAAGGTGATGTATGTCATCACCTTGTAACTGAAGGTGATGTAACTATGTTGGTCAGTATCGGATATAATCATAGAGCTTAAAGAAAATATTGAAAGATATATTGATTATTGATTGATTGTATTGATATATATTGATTGTATATTGATTATTGATAATATTGATTTAAAAAACTATTCAAATTATTTTAAGAAACTATTTAAATTATTTAAAGAAACTATTTAAATGATTTAAAAAATCTATTTAAATGATTTAAAGAAACTATTTAAATGAATTAAAGAAACTATTTAAATGATTTAAATAAACTTTAAATGATTTAAATAAACTATTCAAATGATATAGAAAAGCTTTTTAAATGATTTAAAGAATCTATTTAAGTGATTTAAAAAACTATTCAAATGATTTTAAAACACTATTTAAATGATTTAAAGAAACCATTTAAATGAATTAAAGAAACTATTTAAATGATTTAAATAAACCATTTAAATGATTTAAAAAAACTATTTAGATGATTTGAAGAAACTATTTAAATGATTTAAAAAAATTATTCCACTTACTGCATTAATCAAGGGAAAAAATCATAGTTCATAGGTACAATTTTCATTCGATTTATTGTATCTTACGGGAAATATTTATATACACATTGAATATATAAATACATTGATACTGGAAATACAGAGAATTAGCAGTAACATATCTGATATAAATAGAGACATTAATAACGAGCAAGTTAAATTGGCAATAACTCAGTGCTCACTGCAGTGAGTGACAGAGAGCGCATTTTCTCGTCGACGAAAACTTGAGGTCACGGACAGACGGACGGAAAGACGGACGGAAAGACGGACATGGCGAGCACAATAGTGAATTTTTTCCATAAATAAGAAAATGCGCTAAAAATAACCCTAAATTTCAGAATTACCCTGAATTTCAGGAATACTAGGAAAACTTACCCTAAATTTCAGGTATACTAGGAAAACTTACCCTGAATTTCAGGAAAACTAGGAAAACTTACCCTATATTTCAGTAATACTATGAAAATTAACTAGGAATTTCCCCAAGCAGCAATTGGTATCAGTATATAGTAATTGTACAATGAATATATTGGGGGCTACAGAAACATGAAGGCTACCTGTGAGGTAAGAACACGTAGAACACACATACAACACACGTATAAAACACGTATAATTGCTGTAGCACCAACGTACACAAAATATTTAATTTTTGCTGCAAACGCAGCATGCAGGGGAATTGTGTAACAAATTGTCTACAATTTATCTACGAATTATCGGTAAATTATATACAACCATTTTAACAATTAATAACAAATTATGCTGCTGATGAGTGCAGTGTCTGCGGTTCAGTAGTTCTTCTTCATGCAGCCAGAACTTGGAACTTGGCATGAAACAGTACCGTATCAAGAGTGCTGAATTTGTCGTCTTTCGATGGGTTGTTTTCAGCTACATTATACGGTCGTCTAACCTCTTATTTTTGATGAAAAACTGCAATTCTTCTAGCTTTCATGTCCTTAAGCATGGCTGTATCCTTTAGACTCCTCAAGTGAAGCTGTATCCTTTAGACTTCTCAAGCATAGTTGTATCCTTCAGACTCAAGTGAAGCTGTAGCCTTTATCTTCCTCAAGTGTAGCTGTAGCCTTTATCTTCCTTAAGTGTAGCTGTAGCCTTTATCTTCTTCAAGTGAAGCTGTATCCTTCATTCCTTGACTCCTCCAGTGAAGCTGTATCCTTTAGACTCCTCAAGTGAAGCTGTATCCTTAACAGAACTTTCATCCATCAAAACCTGGTCTCCTACGCAACAATTTTCTACAGAACTTTCATCCATCAAAACCTGGTCTCCTACACCACAATTTTCTACAGAACTTTCATCCACCAAAACCTGGTCTCCTACGCCACAATTTTCAACAGAACTTTCATCCACCAAAACCTGGTCTCCTACGCCACAATTTTCTACAGAACTTTCATCCATCAAAACCTGGCCAGAACCATCACCAGATCTAGCATCAGGTTTCTTGAATAGCCTCAGGGAAAGTGAGTCCTGAGTGCTCCGTTCAGTGTCTTCTAAGGACTTCACGCTACTGTTTTGGAAAGATTCATTTAAGCTTGTATGACAATTTTCCAAAGGGCTATTGAAAATTACTGACCCAGTTCCCAATGTGACAGTCTGAGATTCTGGCGCTACAGCGCAAGGCGAAAGCGAACCTACACTGAAACTTTTTGGACTCTTCTCAAGCAATGTTTTCTCCAAGACCGGAGATCCATCCAAGGCTGAAGAACCATCTAGGGCCGAAGAACCATCTAGGGCTGAAGAACCATCCAAGGCCAAACAAGCATCTCGAGCCAAAGAGCCATCCAAGGCTAAAGAACCAACTAGAGCCGAAGAACCATCCAAGGCCGAAGAACCATCTATGGCCAAAGAACCATCCAAGGCCGAAGAACCATCCAAGGCCAAAGAACCATCTAGAGCCGAAGAACCATCCAAGGCCAAAGAACCATCTAGAGCCGAAGTACCATCTAGGGCCGAAGAACCATCTAGGGCCGGAGAACCAGCCAAGGTCAAACAAGCACCTCGGGCCAAAGAACCATCCAAGGCTGAAGAACCAACTAGGGCCGAAGAACCATCCAAGGCCAAAGAACCTTCCAAGGCCCTAGAACCATCCAAGGCCGTAGAACCATCCAAGGCCGTAGAACCATCCAAGGCCCTAGAACCATCCAAGGCCATAGAACCATCCAAGGCCAAAGAACCATCCAAAGCCAGTGAACCATCCAAAGCCAAAGAACCATCTAAGGCCAAAGAACCATCCAAGGCCAAAGAACCATCCAAGGACAAAGAACCATCTGGGACCAAAGAACCATCTAACGCCAAAGAACCATTCAAAGCCGGAGAACCATCTAAGGCCAAATAACCATCCAAGGCTGCAGAACCATTCAAAGCCAAAGAACCATCCAACACCAAAGAACCATCCAAAGCTGGTGAACCACCCAAGGCCAAAGAACCATCTAAGGCCAAAGAACCATCCAAGGACAAAGAACCATCCAAGGCTGAAGAACCATCCAAGGCCGAAGAACCATTCAAAGCCGAAGAACCGTTCAAAGCCGAAGAACCATTCAAAGCCGAAGAACCATTCAAGGCCAGTGAACCATCCAAGGCTGAAGAACCATCCTTCCGGAACCTCTTAAGTGACGAAAGCGACAAATTTGTCTTATCAGAACCACAAAGTTCTTCGTACGAAGGAGAGTGAGAACCTGCAGCAGAACGCTTGGAACTCTCAAAAGCAATGAAATCATCAAAGTTCTCAAAGTAAGAACTCGCTTGATCAGCGCTAGAACCATCAGGTGTACTAAAGTTCTGGTCAGACAGCGTATGATTGTCGTCACTTGACAACCTCCTGGATTTTTGCAGCAATCTGCTGATGCGGATTGTTTTGAGATCTTGCAATCCTGACAATTTTGTTTCAGGATTAAAAATATTTTCATTCGAAGAAGAATTTGATGGAAAAGAAGTAACGAGGTCATTGAAATTTTTCACCTGAGGGTCAGGGTCCATCCGAGGGTCAGGGTCCATCCGAGGGTCAGGGTCCATCTGAGGGTCAGGGTCCATGTGAGGGTCAGGGTCCATGTGAGGGTCAGGGTCCATCTGAGGGTCAGGGTCCATCTGAGGGTCAGGGTCCATCTGAGGGTCAGGGTCCATCTGAGGGTCAGGGTCCATCTGAGGGTTAGGGTCCATCTGAGGGTTAGGGTCCATCTGAGGGTCATGGTCCATCTGAGGGTCAGGGTCCATCTGAGGGTCAGGGTCCATCTGAGGGTCAGGGTTCATCTGAGGGTCATGGTCCATCTGAGGGTCAGGGTCCATCTGAGGGTCAGGGTCCATCTGAGAGTTAGGCTCCATCTGAGGGTCAGGGTTCATCTGAAAATCAGGGCATATGTGAGGGTCTGAGTCCATCTGAGGGTCAGGGTCCATTTGAGGGTAAGGGTCCATCTGAGGGTCAGGATCCACCTGCAGTTCTGGGTCCATCTGAGGGTCAGGGTCC